GACAGATTATTGAAATATATCAAAATACATTTTATGTACAAAAAATTACTTATTTTTATAGTCACAAAAATGACACCACCTGTATGACAAGTGAAGAACAAACTGCAATTGACGACGAAACAGATCAAGTACAATTATGACTTCTCTTAACAATAATGACGAACTGAAGAAAGAAGTGATGAATATAAGTGTTACTTTGTATGAGATTATATGCATAGATGAGAGTATTTCAAAAAAACAATTTTTCTAGAAGATGCAATTGTCAGACGAAACACTGACGAACATAGCAACATCGTCGTGTAAAATTAACGTGTTGACAATGCCGAAGACGAAATCCCCAGTATATATATTATATAAATAGTCACTGCTAAATCTTTTATTTAATTTTACGTCCTTGTTTAAGGTAGTACTCGTAGACCAAAAACAGAATTTCTTAAAATTGATGCTATACAAATTTTACTAGAAGACATTGTTACGCTTGTACAATTGCAATGAGATTGAGATTTCGGTACTGAGATATAAGCAATTAAAAGCCACACTTTTTATACATGTCGCAACACAAAATTAAATTAATTAAAATATGGCGTTTTTTTTTTATAGGGTTTAAACTAGCAGTGATATGTTAATAAGAAATGTGTTAATAAGAAACGAGGACTAAAAATGGCGGATGCAAATACTTATATTATAGTGCTTTGCATCTACCTGACCTCTCAAGGTGCCTGCCAAGAGGCTCACGATTTTCCATGCAAAACAAAATCTACCTAAATAAAAAGTAAAATAAAAATTTTTTTATATTTCTCGAAATTGAGACTGTGTTTTATATTTTTCACATCGATTAGAATTTACATGCAAAATTTTAAGTTAATCGCAAGCGGGTATCATTTGGAGCTATATCCAAATTATCGTTTATTATAACAAATATAGTAAAATAAAGAAAAAATATAAAAAATAATTACAATAATTTTTTCATTGTTTTAAAAATATTACTATGGAAAATAAAATATTACTTGTGCATAATTATGTATAATATTTATAAATAAATATGTAGTTACATAATTATGACAATTCTTTTATATTTCTCCAAACTTGATTTTATGCTAAAACAAAAAATGCGCAAATTATTCATAAAATATTTATGAATGTGTATACACATTCATGCGCATTTGTATCTATTTATATACATATGCATGAAAACATTTTACCAGATATGACACATGTATCACTAATTGTAAGGTATCCATTTCGAAGAAATTTTGGTACAAAGTCTAAATGTCTTTAAGTGGTAAAAACATACTTTAACATTAAAAGTTAATGTTTGATATTTAAAAGAAAATCTACTGTGACGTTAAACAATTTGATTTTTAAATACAGAATTTGTTTTTTTAAAATAAGGAATTTGTATTTTTAATACAGAGAATAGTGCATCTAAATAATAAATTTGTGCGCAAACAAGCCGTTGACAATTATGACATAAACAAACGGTACTGTAAGCAATCAATTTGTAAGCGAACGGAGTCATTCCTCTCAGGAATAGTACGTCAATCTTTATTTAAAGCAAGATGTTTTTTCGCGGAACTCTAGGAAAATTATGGCAGTGATTCGATTATTGAAACAAGAACAAAATACTAATATCAATTGTCTTAATATAAATCTTTATTAATTTACAATAGTATACAAAAGTAATAGTCATACATACAAAAATAATAGTCAGCACATACATCCAATCTTAAAATAAGACTATGTTCTGAAAACGCAATTGAATAAATCCTGTTTAATATAGTTTTAAAATTTGTAACTTCTCTAGATACATTTATTAAATGTAACATAATATAATGTACATAATTAATAGAGGCATTATAAAAACTATTGGTTACTGCAATAATGGTTAGCATACAGAGTAATTAATACACTGTCTTACACTGTATTTATGTTTTATTGCAATCATTCGAAAGTTTGATCTTTTGTGATAATTTAATTTTTATACTATTTTTTGGTATATCAAAATGTGGCCAATGGAGTGTTATTACAAAAGAGTTATATTAAGATATACATTATATAGGATGTACACATATCCGGACGTATTAATTATTATTAATTTATCAAATGCTCTTGTTATTAAAATATTGAAATTATGTTTGGCAATTATAATATGGTATTAAATTACAATATGGTATTCAAAAAATTTGAAATTTATATAATACTAAATATTGTGTTAATGTTCGGAAATAGGTATATGTCCAGTCACTAGGACGTTTACCATAATAAATTTTTCTGGTCGCCAACACGATTATAATGTCAGAATTAAAAATTTTGAAATGACTTAATATGGCAAACTAAAATTTTAAATCATTGTTTGAAACGCATGACAGTCGGTTTTTGGAGAGTTTTTTCGAGTTTCTAATCTTGACTTTTGACATGAAAAATAAATAATTCAAATTAGCGCATCCAACATGGCAGATTTTAATTTTAAACCATTGTTAAAAATAAAAAATACATATAAATTTAGAAATTTTTTGGGTGATTGATCATGATAAATCTAACATCAGAATAAAAAAATTTAAAATACCTAAAAAAATGTTT